AATAAAGAACAACTAGCCAGGCCCTCTGGCACACACACATACAACCCTGGCACTCAGGAGGCTGAGGCAGGTAGATCACAAGTGTAATGTGGACTGGGCAACTTATTAAGACCATCTCTCAAAACAAAAAATAAAAAGACTGGGGATTTAGCTCAATGATAGAGCACCCTGGGTTCAATCCCCAGTACCACACATACACAAAAAAAGTAAAGGTAACATATGTACATACCACAGCCTGCTGATTTGCCTGCATTTATTTGACTACATTATTTTCCTGTTAGTCTCTTTGAAATTATTAAGTTGAACCATAAGAAACTGACAATTTGGGGTAGGTGTGTACAGTGTCACATGCCTGTAATCCCAGCTACTCAAGAAGCTGAGGCAGGAGGATCATAGGTTTAAGGTCAGCCTCAGCAATTTAGCGAGAGACACTTGTCTCCAAATTAAAAGGGTTGAGGATGTAGATTAGTGGTAGAGGAACCCTGGGTTCAATTCCTAGTACCCACCCTCCACACACACCCATACAAATTGCCTTTTTTTTTTTTTTAAGCTCAAAACCAGTTAACTGTTGAAAGTGTGATGGTTTAGTCTAATAGTTTGAAGGATAATCTGACACTTCATTTCTGTGATTCACTCTATCATTTTTATTATTTCCATCAAATATTAGTAGAATTCCTTTTCTAGATAGTCTTGACTCTTCTAGTCTTTATCCCTCTGCTCATCACTGATTATTAGTTTTGCTGTTCAAGATGAATTTATTGGAAAAACTGCTTTTCCTTTGTCCTGCATCTCCTTTACCCATTCACCCTCAGCACATGCATTTGCCCATAAATGCTAGTTACAAAGTAAATTATGGATATTGTTACCCAGTAAAGCATTAAGCTTTAAAATTTGAAACATGGATAATTTCTTTGTGTGGTATGGGGGAAGAAGCATTGGACTAGAGTCAAAAGACCTAAATCTCAGGGCTGGGGTTGTGGCTCAGTGGTAGAGCACTTGTCTGGCCACCGGTGAAGTACTGGGTTTGATCCTCAGCACCACATAAAAATAAAACAAAGGTATTGTGTCCATCTACAACTATAAATAAATAAATAAATAAATAACTTGATCTGCCATTTGATGAATAAAAAGCCTTGGAGAAAGTAATTTGACATCTGAGCCTGTTTCTTCATGTATAAAGTATAAATAGTACATTCTTTTGCCACCTACCTAAGCAGTTAGGATCAAATGAAACTGAACTGTTAACTAGTAATTGTAGCAATTCTTATGTCCCTTATTTGGAATAACTAGAATAGGAGATAGTTCTTTTTACTGTGTACTTTATAGCTTCCAAAATGAAGGTTGATAATCTCAACTCTGATGTCCATCAACACATAAATGAATAAGTAAAATTGTGGTATACCTTACCATGAAATACTACTCAGCAGCATAAGGATTTACAGGTTAGAGATTTTAAGTGCCTGTTCTCAGTATTTTTAGGTTTGTATATGAATATTATATTAAAAATGTTTTCTTATGAGAGAATAGATGACAATGGATGAGAGTCCTACCTCCTTCTGTTTAAATCTTCTTTAGATTAATAAAGCAATCAGTGAAAAAATCAAGGTCTAAATCCTTTTTTTTTGGCAGGGATTGGTGGCGGGGATCAGGGATTGAACTTTGGGCACTCGGCCACTGAGCCATATCCCCAGCCTTATTTTGTATTTTATTTAGAGACAGGGTCTCACTGAGTTGCTTAGCACCTCTCTGTTGCCAAGTCTGGCTTTGAACTTGAGATTGTCCTGTCTCACCCTCCCGAGCCGTTGGGATTACAGGTGTGCGCCACCACGCCTGGCCTAAATCTCTCTAACAATTATTTTCTTGATAATTTGTCTTCATTTTTGTGGAATGAAAAAAAAAATCTTAATTGAGGTTAGTCTATTTGTAATAAGAAAAATGTACTAGATACAGGGGAAAAAAATCAATGTATATTCATGTGTGTCACTCAATTCTTAAACCAAATTTAATGAGAGATTATTCACATATGATAATAAAACTCACCACTTTTAAGTAACTGCACAGTTTTGACAAATATATACATTCTTGTAACCATGCCACAGCTAAGGTATAAAATATCCTACTTTTAAGGACACTTTTTTTAGCCATCTGTACATCATCATCCTCAGAAGTCCCCCGTGCCCCTTTGCTGTCGGTCCCCTTCCCATTCCCTGGCAAACAGTAATCTGTTTTTCTGCCACCATGATCATGACTTTTTAAGAATTTCATATAAATGGATTTGTATATGACATTGTCTTTTATGTCTGGTTATTTCACTTCACATGTTTTTGAGATCCGTCAGCATTATTGTGTGTATCGATTGCCCCTTTTTTATTTATTTATTTATTTATTTTCTCTCATCGTGTTTCCTGTACCATTTTGAACATACAGAGCATAATTGTAATAACATTTTAACATCCTGCTAATACTGTCATTTCTGATCTTTTCTGTTGACATAAGGTCACATTTCCTGTTTATTTGAATGCCTGCAATTTTATTTTGTTGTTGTTGTTGGACACAGTACCTATTTTTTATTAATTTATTTTTATGTGGTGCTGAGAATCGAACCCAGAGCCTCACCACGTGCTAGGAGAGCGCTCTACTGCTGAGCCACAATCTCAGCCCCTGCAATTTTCTTTTATGTGTTGGACATAGTAAATTTTATACTGTCGTGTGCTGTATTTTATTGTATTCCTTTAGGTAATTTTGGACTTTTTTTCTTGGATCCTTTCAAGACTTGCTTTTAAGTATTGTTACAGTGGGTCAAGACCAATTTTTAGTCCAGGGCTAATTTAGTTCCATTTCTAAGGTGATGCTCTTCTGAGGACTCTGTTAGATGTGTTGTAAGATTCTCCCATTTTGATGGGTAAAAATAAAAAAAAATAAAAAAGCTCTGTGTGAGTGCTGTTTTCTGGTGGCCCTTTCTTTCCCCAGCATCTGATAGTTTCTCTCTCTCTCTCTCTTTAATATTTTGTTTAGTTGTAGATAGACACAATACCTTTATTTATTTTTATGTGGTACTGCAGGTTGAACCCAGTGCCTCTCATGTGCTAGGCAAGCGCTCTACCACTGAGCTATAATGCCAGCCCTGATAGTTTTCTTCTTGTGTATGCCTATCAATCAATACCCTTCCCAGGACTCAAGGAGACTGCCCCCTGTAGATCCCCATGTGCACTCTGCACATTCCTCCTCCTGTACACCCAAGATAGTCTAACCACCTTGGCCTCCCCAATTCTAATCACAACTGACAACTCTCCACTCCAAACCCAACTGTCCTCAACTGACAAAACTAGGTTCCCCTTCTCTGTGCATCAATCTAGTACCTGCCTCCAGGAAGCACAGAGCAACCTGAAGGTTTAGCTTGGTTTCCCTTCTCCCAGGCAGCATAGTCCTGCACTCCCTGTGTTGAGTGTCTAAAAACCACTGTGCTGTATTTTTTGTCCAGTCTTCTGCTGTTTATAGTAGGTGAATTTAATCCCTAGGATGCTATAATGACAGGAAGTGGGAGTCTCCTATGAAAGTAGAGTAAAGCATGTATTGATAGTACCTCAGAGAAAATAGGGTACTTGGCTCATCAGTTGTCAACATACTTAAATCTGACACACTTTAGTGTCTGCTCTTTGTAAGACATAGGACCTAACGTAAGTGTTGTTCCTTGGTGTTCATGGTAACTAGTCTAATCAAAGATTGACTGTTTTTCTCTGATGAACTTGTACATAAGGAATATTAATTCTGGGTTATTTTTGGCCAAATTATCTAGCATAGCTTTGCATGAATAATGAATATGTTAATATTCTCTCTCTCTCTTTTTTTTTTGGTGATGGGGATTGAACCCATGGCCTTATACATGCTGTGAAAATGCTCCACCACTGTGCCACATCCCCAGCTCCATCAGTATCCTACTTCTTTTTTTTTTAATATTTTATTAGTTATTACTGGAGCTTTATTTATTTATTTGTTTATATGTGGTGCTGAGAATTGAACCCAGTGCCTCATGCATGCGAGGCAAGCGCTCTACCACTGAGCTACAACCCCAACCCCATCAGTATCCTACTTCTAAGGACACTTTTTTTTAACCATCTGTACATTTGATTGCTTGATTATGCTTCGATATATGTGAGAAAATTACTGCAAATTTTTCTTATTCACAATTATTTACGGTTGAAAAGACCATTAAACATTTTTTAACCCTTTGTAAACTAATTTTTTTGATTTATTAAAAACAGAACAATTATTTGAACATTTCATAGATGGGCCAACCTTAGTGTCAACACTTGGCCAGATATTTAGTCAGTTAAATTAAAGAATAATTAAAGAAATGTGTTTTGATCTATTTGTATTTTAGGAAGATGAGTAAAATCAGATTTAAAATATGATTTTACTTTATGACATATAGACTGTTGTTGTCTGATTAGAGTTTTAAACAATGTGAAATGAAATGGTTAAGAGAAAAATTTGAGGTCTAAGTGGCTTTACCTGTGGACTTATGTGTAAAATGATTTAAACATAATTAGTTGGAATGAGTATTGAAATTGGAAGTTCTAGATTCTAGTGTCAGCTGTGCCTTTTACTGCTACTGGGTGATGTGGGCAAGTTACCTGAGACTCTTATAACTTCTAAAATGAAGATAATAAACATCCTACTTACTGTCAAGGATGTGTGGAGTGCTGAATTGCAGAAAAACAACATTCTTTGGGGATTCTAATATGTCATGGAAACTTTTGACATTAAACTTTATTTTTACATATTATGTAAAAACTACTATCAACAGTAAGAATGATAGATTGCAAAGTGAGGTATATTTATTACATTTCACATAGTTTATCATGCAAAAAAATGATGTTGAAATGGAAGAAACAAGCATAGGCCTATTTAGATAGAATGGCGATAGGAAGAGACTGCTGTATTTTTTTCCTCCTCCTTTTTCTTAGCATCATTTTGTTTTCTCTCCCACAATTTTCCAGGCAAAGAATGTGTGCAGCAGTTAGCCGAGAACACTAGGTATTTCAGGAGACGACTGAAGGAGATGGGCTTCATCATCTATGGAAATGAAGATTCTCCAGTGGTGCCTTTGATGCTCTACATGCCAGCCAAAATTGGGTATGTTTTATTGCAGGTCACTCAGTGGTCCTTCATTAGACTTAAGGCACCTGTGATAAAAGACTAGGGCTTATAGTTAGAAAAATTATCTTTTCTCCACTGTGTCCATTTGTTAGTTAGGCCATAGTTGACATAGTGGATCTAAATTGCAAGATGTGTAAACTTATTATCATTTCATTAAACAAATATCCAAGTTTAACACTGTCTTCCAGGTGCTTAGGATGGATGTGTGAACAAAACACAAAACATCTCTGTCCTACTTTCTTTTTTTTGGTTTTTTTGTTTGTGGAGCTTACGTTCTAGTGGGGCAACAGTCAGACAAATGTAGTCATTAGAAGATATTACACTATGTGTGCTCAAAGGTATTACGTGTATCGAAAAAAGAATAATGCAGGCTACATGTGGGGATTGAGAGGACCTGGTAGGTGTGCAGAAATAGCATTAAATAGGGGACAGGGAAAGCCTCGGTGGGAAGGGAAGATGAAATCTGAGCAAAGAGGAACAGTCTGTACAGAGGCCACATGCAGGGACATGCTTAGTCGGTTGAAGAATAGCCAAGTGGTCACTGGAGCTGGAGGACAGTGCCCAAGGGGGAGCAGTGGGCCATGAGGTCAGAAAGGTCGAGCGGAGCATGTTATTGGATATTTACCAGGTGTGCTGATTACCCCAGCTGCTTTGGTTTGTGTGAGATGTACATAATGGAAGCCCTCAACCTGGGACAGCTTTCTTTGTATTTGAGAAGTCCAGATGTACAATGAAACTAGAAGACATTTGAAAAGCAAATGAACAATAATTACATTGAATAATTATATCGAACAGTTGTATGCAAAATTACACTGGAGCTGTAGAATAAAGGAGTGATCTGCTTAGTATGGGTTCCATAAAAAAGGTACCTTGTTTTGATGTGTTTTTCTTTTTGATGGGGGATTGTTTTTGTTTGTTTTAATTATTTTTTCTTTTTTAGTTGTAGATGGACATAATGGCTTTTATTTTATTTGTTTATTTTTATGTGATGTCGGGAATCAAACCCAGTGCCTCACGAATGCTAGCCAAGCACTCTACCACTGAGCCACAACCCCGGGTGGGAGAGTGGGGTTGTTTTTTGAGGCAGGGTTTTGCTGTGTTGTCCAGGTTGGTCTTGAACTCCTGGGCTCAAGTAATCCTCCTACCTCAGCCTCCCAAGCACTGAAGGTATATCTTTTTGAATGGGTGAGTTTTGATCCAGATTTTTAGTATAAAATTAGAATAAGGATCATTTCTCCCATTTGCTTAAATTCATTAAGGGAGCAAATATTTATGTTTATCTTTGAATCCCCAGTATCCACCTCAGTCTCCAACACTCAGAAGGCACTCAGTAAATGTTTCTTGAAGTGAATATAAGAGAGAAAAATTAATTGGGGAGCCTAGAAGAATGATGATCCCAAAGACTATGAGAGAGAAGTTGGGAAGAGATGCTTACTAAGGGGAAAAGAAGAGTGCAGGTTTCAATACAGAATTAGAGGGAGTTGGCATTATGTCCTACAAAGAGAGTGTTGGGGAATCTTCTCCCAGTGGAATTATCACAGGTATACTTGAGCTATCAGATCTGAAGGACTCAATCTAGAACCCTTTGTTTAGAGAGGACTGTGCCTCATCTGTCTACACAGGTGAAACTGAAGACGGTGGAGGAGAACTGGGATGATGTGCTGGACAGTTAGGGAGCGTGATCAACAGATACGGGGAGCTTGGGCTCATCTGACCTGGGAGCATGGAGAAAGCTATGCAGGTGTTAGAGAGTAGGAAAAGACTGGCACTGATGTATTGCTAGATGTGCAGGATATTTTTCTCAAACAAGTATTGTGAAAAAATTAATGGAAAAGTAAAATAGAAATAAGGTAGGTCAATGAGGGAAAAACAGAACAGCATAATTTAATAAACAAAATTAAGTGAAAATTAGGATATGTTATTTAGTCAAGATTCGGATGTGGAGTAAGGCCATAGGACAGCTGACTTGGAGTGAGAGGTAGTGTGAGCAATTAGCCAAAGCCACTGGCCAGCTACCTGACAGAAACTAGAGGCCGCTTGCCGATTGGTCACTCTGCCAGCAGATCTGTGTCATGTTATAGCCAGTCCTCTCTATCTCCATAACCTTAAGACTATTGAAACTGCCAAGCTTAACATTTCTTTATTTGTTCTAATTAGTTATACATAGTAGCAGAATGCTACTTTCCGTTTCTCTGGTTGTGCACAGTGTAGAGTTGCATCACATGTGCAGTCATACATGTACCTAGGGTAATGATGTTCATCTCATTCCACCATCTTTCATACCCCCGTGCCCCCTCCCCTTCCCTCCCTCCCATTTGCCCAATCAGAGTTCCTCCTGTCTCCCCTCGCACCCCCCAAGCTTAACATTTTAAGGACCAGGTTTTTAATGCAAGTTTATTTTGAAGCCCTTGAACCACTGTTAATAACAAGGGTACTTTTTTTTAAGACTGTAATTATAAATCTCTTTAGGCAAACCCTATTACAACTGGTCTCTGCCAATTATATTCTTTTACCTTGTGAAGGAAATCATACAGAAGACCACCACCTTAGGATTGAATAAACGAGTTGTAAATTGTCAGTTTTAACTTTAGAAGAAGATAGAGGAAGTGATGTCTACATCACTAGAGTTTAAATCATTCCAGACAGCAAGACCTTTGCTTTATACTGTTCTTCATTTCTTTTCCTCATTTTCCCCTTTGTAGCGCCTTTGGACGAGAGATGCTAAAGCGAAACATTGGTGTAGTTGTGGTAGGATTTCCTGCTACCCCAATTATTGAGTCCAGAGCCAGGTTTTGCCTGTCAGCAGCTCATACCAAAGAAATACTTGATACGGTAAGTGGACACTTTCATCTTGGTGTAAACATGCCTTATACTAAAAGAACCCATGTATCACATACATGAAACCAATCATTTGTTGATCCGAATGTTTTCTGAGTACCTAAGACAGCAGTGGTGCCCAATGCTACTTAAAACTGCCATTTACAAGAGAACTACCAAGTGTGTAGCATCACACCAGATCCAGTGTCAACCAAACTCTGGAGAATTTTCCAGATTCATCATAGCATTCTGTCTCTATGGACTCCACAGTTGTGCAGTTCCCTTTCCATCCTGTCTGTCTCTGTTCCAAGCTTTCTGGTTATTGTCATGTATGTAGAATTTTCTATCTTAAGCTTTTTCTCCTCCTTGATTGGCTGAGTGCAACTCATTCTGTATATTTCCACTTAAAGGAAACTTGCTCAGGTCTTTTCCTCTTGATAAATAAGACTTTTATTTTTGTGTTGCTGGGGATCAAACCCAGGGCCTCATGCAGGATGGGCTAGGCAAATCCTCTACCACTGAGCTAGATTCCAGCCTTCCCATACATAAATCTGAAAGTTAGGAGCTAAGTCTCATTTTATATGTTCAGCACCTGTCACAGTGCCAAGTATAGTTGGGGCTCATAACTATTACTGAATTTAATTATTTATGATTTCAGTTTATTCTCATCTCTTGATATTGCCTCTTGATATGCTGTTGTTTCATATCTAAGATTTCAGTCTTCAAGTTTTTTAAACTTCATTTATTTATTTATATACATATGTATGTATGTGGTGCTGGGGATTGAACCCAGGGATTTGTGCATGCAAAGGCAAGCACTCTACTGAGCTATATCCCCAGGCCTTATTTATTTATTTTTATGTAATGCTGAGGATTGAATCCAGGACCTCATGTGCTAGGCAAGCACTCTATCATCGAGTTACAACCCCAGCCCTCGGTCCTTAAATTTTAAAGTTTTGTTTTCTGAACTGAGGTTATAGCTTAGTGGTAGAACACATGCTTAACATGCACAAGCCCTGGCTTCTATCCCCACTCTTCACCCCCCTGCCGCTGAAAACGTATGCTTTGTGCAAGTTCATAAAACTTTAGAATGTGACATCTGCAAAAAAAAAAAAAAATTGCTGGAAATATTAATTTCGGGGCTGGGGTTGTGGTTCAGAGGTAGAGCGCTTGCCTAGCATGCATGAGGCACTGGATTTGATCCTCAGCACCACGTAAAAATAAAAAAATAAAGGTATTGTGTCCATCCACCACTAAAAAATAAAAGTTAAAAAAAAAAGAAATATTTATTAATTGGTTTGAGATCTGATAATAATCCCAAAGAGTTTTTATATATTTTTTGTAAGGGGGAGCGTTACCAGGATTGAACTCAGAGGCACTCAACTACTGAGCCTCATTCCCAGCATATTGTGTATTTTATGTAGAGATAGTGTCTCACTGAGTTGCTTAGTGCCTCACTCTTGCTGAGGCTGGCTCTGAACTCAATCCTCCTGCCTCAGCCTCCAGAGCTGCTGGGATTACAGGCATGCGCCATCATGCCCCGCAAGAGTTTTTATACTGGGCTGGGGATGTGGCTCAAGCGGTAGCGCGCTCACCTGGCATGCGTGCCGCCCAGGTTCGATCCTCAGCACCACATACAAACAAGGATGTTGTGTCCGCCAAAAAAAACTAAAAAAAAAAAAAAATATATATATATATATATATATATATATATATATTTCTTTTTTTTTAAAGAGTTTTTATACTTTTAGAAGTTTATTATAATAATTTGACATTTTGTATTTCTAAACAGTGGAAGACTTTTTACTTCCTATTTCTACATAGCAGAATTTCTACAATTAAGAGTTTATTCTGCCAGGTACGGTGGCTCACACCTATAATCCCAGCACCTCAGGAGGCTGAGGCAGGAAGATAGCAAGTTCAAAGCCAGTCTCAACATCTTAGCAAAGCTCTAAATAATTCAGTGAGACCTTGTCTCTAAATAGAATATTAAAAAAAAAAAAAAAAAAGAATTGGACTGGGATGTTGCTCAGTGGTTGAGGGCCCATGGGTTCAATCCCCAATAAACCCCCCTCCCCCCGAAAAAAGAATTTATTCTACTGGGTAGTGGTCCATGCCTGTAATTCCAATGACTTTGGAGGCTGAGGTAGGAGGATTGCTTGGGCCTAGCTGGGGCAACATACTGAAAGTCCTTGTCTCAGAAGGAATCTTATAATCTAGATCTACTTGGACTACTGTGGGTTTGTTTGGATGGTTTCTGTTGCTAATCTTTTTCTTTTTTACATTAAGGAAGAAAGATTCTTCTGAAGTCAGAGTTTCTAAATGCCCTTTTCCTTTGTGTTATTAGTAAATCCTATGAATTTTTGTTTTAAATTAATAAATCCTATGTCAGAGGTCAAGGGTTCAGTGGTTAATAGTTTCTCCCAGCTAAAATTTAAGCTTAAATTGCTTCCCTGTGAGTTTCATTTAAATCTCTTCTCAGAGGTACCACTGTCCTGATAACATATTGAAGCCCAGCTCTTATTTGTTTTTTATATTTTTCACATTTTTTTCTTCTGCTGAAATACATAAGGAATGCTATTGATGTCCTTTTTCTCTCTCAAAATACTGATTTTTAAAAATTAAGTTTGAGAACAGATGAATGTGTCTTCTTACTAATAATCAGCTCTGAAATATAAGATATACATTGTCATACAAAATTGTAGCAACAAGATTAAGCAGGTTTACGCAGTGTCACAGAATTTGGGAAGTCACAGTCAGACAGTGTATTTCCTTTCCTACCGAGCATATCCTAGCCATTACATGTATACACATATAACCTTTATCCTGCATACCAGCTATTCACAAGTCATTATTTCTGGTCAGCCTGAGGCCTTGTTCAAAAACAGCTCTTCCCATAGCTGTGTGTGGTCTGGTTTGAGTGAATGCACTGGACACACCAACCTTACCATCATTGTTTTGGGCCCAGTAAACCATCAAGCGTGCCTGCGTCCTGCTGTCCCTGACTGACGTCTGCCTCATCTGCTGTGTCTTAGGCTTTAAAGGAGATAGATGAAGTTGGGGACCTGCTACAGCTGAAGTATTCCCGCCACCGGCTGGTGCCTCTACTGGACAGGCCCTTTGATGAGACCACATATGAGGAGACAGAAGACTGAGCCTTTCTGGTGCTCCCTAGAAGAACTCTCTCACCAAGGACAGTGTGGCCTTTCTGAGCCAGTTCCAGGAACCACACTTCTGTGGCCATCTCACATGAAAGACATTTCCTCAACTACTGAAGGTGGCCACCTCCGCTCTAAGTGGCATTTTGTAAATAGTAAAAACAAAAAACTGCTTCACATCCTTTCTTTGCTAAAAACCACCTTTAAAAAAAAAAGTGATTCACTTTGTCCATTAAAAACATGTTTTATTTTATAGCTCTTCTACTTGTGAAGTCATGCTGGCTCTTGCCTGTCTGGCTAACCACCCAGGCTTTGCCCTCTCTAGCACTTTGCAGGCTTGGGTCCAGCAAGGCTTGCTGCTGGCCCTGGCTCTCCAGCCAAGAGACTCCCCCGGCCCTCCTCCCCCTGGGAGCAAGTGCCTTCCACATTTTTCCCTCCAGGTCTTTGAGGCTGCCCACCTTGAAATCCTTATTTAACTGGTCAAGTAATCAACCAAAGTCATAACTTTATTCATAAGTTTAGCCTTTTAAGAAAAACAGTAAACGATGATAGTGCCAACTGTGTAACTGGTGGGGGGCTCCCAAGACCTTGATCTTATTCCATTTTTTGTTCTGGTTACCAGATGATTTTTTTCTTTATCTAATATTTCTTCATATGGTCACAGTCTGAGAGTGTGTCCAAATTCTAAGTGCTTTTTCGTGCTTTCAAACTCTAACCCTGACATCTCCCACCTCTTACTGAAAACACACATCATTTTGGAGGCCCAATCCCTGCCTAGTCAGGCCTGTCTGATGAAGGTGATGGCCTCCTCCTCACTGATCACCATGTTGTGAATGAGGCTGCTCCATGGTGAAGGCTCTGCTGGCAGGTGGTGTGGCAAGAGTTGGTACCTCCAGGATGGTTGTGGTTGGGTTTCTGCCTCCTTTCTACTTTTCAAAATCATGACAGCCTCTGACTGGGCCTGGGACCAGATTAGGATTTAAACTGATATAGGAAAATGTTGGTCAATCCTTGCTCAGAAATCATTTATCATGTTTCTATTTCAGGATTAAAGTTATTAATTTAACCCTTTTAGAAGCTGACCCACTTAAAATTATTCTTTTGAATTCTAGTTCTTTTATTTTTGATGTCCTCAAACAATTTTAACCTGGCTTATGGAGCTAGATTTTCCCTGTGCTTCCATTGTATAGAATTTTCTTTTTTCTGAGAAATTCTAATAGGAAATCAGATCTATTATATTTCTGAGAAATTCTAATAGGAATCTGATCTATTTCCTAAACTGGAATGTCCCCTATTTTGACTGTTTTCATACTGTAACCAGGTAAGGGAACTTCTTTCAGAAAGCTTTATACTGCTTGACCAAAGAACATACCTGAGAATCACCATTTTAAAGTTTTTAATTTTTCTTCAACCAAAGCTCAAGTGAAGAGAACATTTGGCTTTATTGTACCCAAAATCAGTTTGTCTTTTAGTAGCCATCAAGTATTATAGGAGAAGGATTGGGAACAGAATGAAAAAAACAGTGGATGAAAGTTGTTTTGCAGATCTGATTTTGAAATTGCTCCTTTTATTAGTAAAGATTCCCAGTCCACATCCTGTGTCTCCCCATCAGCTGTGGCATGTTGTGCAGATGCACGTGGTGGAAGATATCAGCAACGTCGTTGTTTGTGCAGTTTTGTTTTCATGTCCCAAGTGTAAGTTATCTTTGGTCATTCAGCGTCTGAGAGCTTTAAGCCCTTGCGATATTCCAAAGTTTTATATCACTTTTTTTAGAAAACAGACAAGGGTGAATAAAAGAACTAAGGAGAGATGCAGGGAATATATTTAGCATGTCCAAGTTAAAGTAAAAGAAAGACTACGGTGACTAAAATAACTAGCCTGTAAAATTAAGTACACTGCTAACCTTTGCTGCGCATCTAATTCCCCACTCTAGAATTGGTCTGCAATACCAGATAGCTTTTGCATTGCAGTTACTAATTAAAGATGTAGGTGTAGGGTTTGCAGAAGTCACAAACTTTAATCAATGAACTTATCTGCTAGTCTTTTTTTTTATTTTGGCTTGCACAAAGTTACTGCAAATTAAAATGTCAGTATGGGCATTTAAAATTATAAACACACATGTCACTTTGTTGATGAGAAGTTGTTTCAGGATAAATGTAATTAAGAGTTTATTTTGAAGAGACAAAATTCCTGTGATCTATCCAGGATCTTTGTACTTTGTAGAGGACAAAATGTTATATGTATATTGCATGTGGCTGGTTGTCTCTACTTAATTGTAATATAAATTTGGGGGGTCCAGTTATATCCTACATATCATTAATTATCCAACTTCTTGGGGAAGTACAAGGGTATATAAATACAGTCATACTCATTGAGAATGATCACAAATCTGGGATAAGCAAATATTGTTTAGTACAATTTGACATGGCCTGATGCAAGAATCTGGTGGGATTGAAACTGGCCATGGTAGCACATGCCTATAATCCAAGCTACTTGGGAGGCTGAGGTGTAAGGATTCCAAGTTTAAGATCAGCGCGGACAATTAGCAAGACCCTCTCAAAAAAAAAAAATTAAGGGGCTGGGGGTCTGTCTCAGTGGTAAATGCCCCTGGATTCAAACTCTAATACCACACACACACAGAGAAAAAAAAAAAAAAACATATTGTACTTCAAATAGGTTGCAGTTAACCATTCCTACCAAAACTGGTGATGTGAGTCAGTTGATAGAGGTTGGACTAATACTTTTTCTTGCCCTTCTTTGTTGCATTGACTTTATTCATTTCAGGTGTAGAGTTATTCATATGATCATATCAGAAACCAGGAAGTGTACAGCTAGGAGACACAAAATCACATACACATAATGGCCTAAGTAGCAGTTTCTCCTAACTCTTTTTTTTTTTTAACCCAAGGGCATTCAACCACTGAGCCACACCCCTATTCCTTTTTACTGTTTATTTTGATTCAGGGTCTCACTAAGTTGGTTAGGATCTCACTAATTTGCTGAGGCTGGCTTTAAACTTGTGACACTCCCACCTGTGCCTCCCCAAGTGACTGGGATTATAGGTGTGCTCTACTGTGTCCAGCTCTCCCATCTTTATTTTAAAAGCTTTATCCTAGCAGGTGACAAGGAATTTGAAGCACTTTTTTTTTTCTTTTGAGCACTTTAAAATCTTTTTTTTTTTTTTTTTGCTTTAGATTAAAAAAGAAAATCCCTTTTAAAAACAGATTCTAGTCCTCAGAACTCCTCAATACTGCTTGTTTGAAGAATCCAGCCACTTAGTCACTATCTTAAACTCATTGGGGGAAGATTTCAAACAGTGAAAATCAGCGTCTTCCTCAAGTAGACACAGAAGGTGGACAGGAACCTCTTACACGGCTTGCCCCACTCCCATTCAGAGGCCAAGGAATGGAACATTTTCCTACTGAGTTGTCTCTATAATCCTTCTCTTCATTTGGCCTGCCTTTCTTTCTATATCTTCCAGTTCTTGATTTCTTTTTATTTCTTTTTTTTTTTTAAACAATTCTAGCTCCAGAGAAACTGATATATATGGTGGTGCTGGGCTTGGGCTCAATAGCTCAGACACCCTGGTCCTCCTTGTACACTCAGCCTTATGTTTCAAGAGGAGGCAGGGGACTATTCCATCCCTCCTTAATTAAGGGGTCCTGTATCTAAGTTTCTCACAGCTGATGTGGTCCAGCTGAACTGTCAGTGTGTGATACCCTTTGCTTCCCACCTATTAGTGAAAACCAGGCAGAGTAGCTTACTTGGAGAGATTTCTGACTTCACAGGGGAAAGGGGAAATGATGATCTACCACGACCTCCCTGTTCTCTCTTTTCTAAATCAGGGAGGATTTCTGGTCCCCCCAAATACTGGATTGGAACAGTGTAGAATTGCTGGTCACAGCATGGCAGCAGAGAGAGACCCTGGCTAATTCTTATTTTGTAAAGAATTGCAGTCTTGTGCCAAACCCACCTAAAAATGGCTAAATGCAATTGTTCTCTTGTATGGGAAATTGTTAAGACCTGACTTTAGGGTCCCTTTTCTCTCCTGATGTTCTAGATAAGCCACAATGGATTTTATTCTGTTTGCTTCAACTGTGTGGTTAGAACAAGAGGGACAGCAGTGTTTTTTTCTTTTCTCAGAGCCTGTACTCAACAGAGATCAGAAATTGGTGAGCATTTCACACGGGTATGGAGTCAACTTAGCCCAAAGGGGTTGTGGAATGTGGTAAAAGTAGTATGAAAATCTAGGACTCTTCTTGGCTGCCTAGCTAAGAATCTATCTATAGATTTGTTTGTTTTTTCAGGGTGGGAGTGCTAATCCGTTTATTTTCCTGGCCCCAGAACCTGTAGGTGTGCTGCTACCTGCTTAACACAGAAGCTCAGTACGCAGCAGGCATCTCAGTCCATTCAGCCAGGTACCAAAGTACCTTCCATGTGGAGAAAAGCGTGTCCCTTCCTCTCCTCCGCTTTGCTCACATGAAATGTGCGTCGGGCTCCGAGCCAGTTGCTGTGTGTCTAGCCAGAGAACTGACTTAGAGGGCTGGCTTCCGCCTCACACAGGAGAAACACTAGGGCTTGCCAGTGATCCCCTGGCTTTACTTGTATACAAAATGCTGCTGTTCCTTTGTCATTTCCAGTGACTTCTGTTTTCCAAGCAGCTTTTTGCTATGGAGTCTTTTCTAGGGAAGGAAAAAAGGGGGACTAGTTTGCTTCCCTCGTTAAAATGGTCATTCTTGTCTTCCCTGCAGAGTCTGGAAATATCCCATTCCCAGTCCACTCTGGTGCCATGAGCTGTGGATAGGTTTTGTTTACTGGGTAGCATACATGATAAATGGCCTTAAGCTGTTATTCTTTCTGGTATGATGAGTTCTATTAAACTGACCCTAAAGAATTCAATGGCTCCTACGCTGTGTTCTTAATGAAGCAATACCCAAAGCTCTGTTCTTCTGAGGCAGTGGTGAGGGGGTTGAATGAAAGCTACAAACCAGGGCAGCACCCTGACATCGTGCTTTCTCAGCGTCTGCTTTGTTGCCGTGGACGTGGTGAGTGGGTCCGTCCACAAGGAGACTTGAGCCAGCTCAAAGTTTGCTTTTTCCAACTCAGTTTCCATGTTTCTTATGCAAAACTTGGTTGCTTGGCCTAAAACTTCCTGGGAAGTAGGGGCCATACCACTGACCAGGGTGGAGTGGCGGCTTGTCTTCATTCGTAGTGTTGTTACTTTGGTTAGAATCCTAAGAGCTTCCTTGCTGGCTCTTTACAGGACACTGGGAATCGCCCTGTCAGTTCAGCCAACAGGCCCCCCCCCCCACCATCTTGATGATCCCTTTCTGACAAAGGCAGCTAACAGTAAGGGAAGGAGGAAAGAGAAGAGGAAATGCTGATGGGAGGCCGAGATCTTATTCGTTGGTCCATGTTTTTCCACTGACCAAGTTACTTGTAAACTGGAATTCACAAGGTGTGCTGTGATGACCCCTTTCCTTTGCTGTAATGTTCATATAGTCTGGGAAAGGAAAAGAAGGGGAAGTGTAAATAAAATTTTTTTAAATTTTAGTAATGTGTTAAAATGTCACTCTTCCATACCCTGCCTTTTTGCCAGATGATGATTTTTTATTTTTATTTTTTATTGGATGACTGTGAAGTTATAAATAATGAGTTAGGGTGGTGTATCAATTTTGAGAGTGCATGTTAAGATCTAAAGGGGAACTATTTGAGATGACTTAAGAATCATCCCATGCAAATATATATTGTTTTGCCCTAATAAAATGTTCATAAAGATATATCTGCCTTTATTCATTTAAATAAGAAATATCGAGAGCTCTATCTCTGTGCCATCAAGTACACGGAACATTATCAATCATAGCAATGAATAGATATGCTTCCTACCTTCCAGTAAACAAGCGCACAAACAGATACATCATTTTATAAACACTAAAGACTGTTGAGGAGGGCTGGGGATGTGGCTCAAGTGGTAGCGCGCTCGCCTGGCATGCGTGCAGCTGGGGTTCAATCCTCAGCACCACATACAAACAAAGATGTTGTGTCCGCCAAAAACTAAAAAATAAATATTAAAAAAAAAAAGACTGTTGAGGAAAAGTAAAAGATTGTACGCAGTTTCTGGTTTAGACAGGTGACAAGAAAACCTGTCTGAAGAAGCAGAGGATCTAAAAGAAAGTCTCAGTAAAGAAAAGAGCTCAATAAGCAAATGGGTAGTGGTGAAGCCAGAAAGGCGGCGGCAGAGGCTGGCCACCCTGGACTTTGTGGGTCAGGGTGAGGGGTTTCTCTTAATGCACAGGAAACCAGTGAAATATTTAAGCATTGGAAAAGATGACCACTAATTTTTTTTTTTTTTTGTAGATACAGGTTGACAAAATTTTTATGGAGGTATAAAGGAATACAGTCAAAACAATTTTGAGAAGGGACTTAAGAATACCTATAAAGCTACAGAATGCTGTTGCCTTTGGAATGGTCATAAAGATCAGTAAAATAATAGTGTTCAGAAATAGACCCATACATATATGGTCAGTTGATTTTTAACAAAGGTTCCAAGGTAATTTGGTGGGGAAAATACAGTTATTTCAACTACTGGTGCTGAAACAGCTAAATGTCCACAAGGGAAATGAACTCAAACCTTATATATGATAATTAAATCATAAACCTGAAATATGCTGATAAAAATTCTAGAACTTCTAGAAGGAAATAGAAAAAGACTTTAAAACTACAGACTGATTAAAAAAAAATTCACAATACAAGTGTTTCATAAAGGATTTCTATCCAGAAAATATATAAAGAACTGTTAAAACTCAGTAAGGGTATCCAAAAATAAGGGAAAAATTTTAATAAACATTGCACTAAAAAGTATATACAAATGGCCAGTTAGCACATGAAAAAATGATCATCACTATTGATATGACAATAAAATCCCACACACCCCAATAAGAATGGCTAAAATAAAATGAATTGCAATATTAAGTGTAAACGAAGATGTGGAACAATGAAGGATCACATAGGATGCTCATGGGTACTTGATTTGGGGGGAGAGGATACTGGGGATTGAACTCAGGGGCATTTGACCACTGAGCCACATCCCCAGTCCTACTTGGTATTTTATTTAGAGACAGTGTCTCACTGAGTGCTTAGCACCTCTCTTTTGCTGAGGCTGGCTTTGAACTCTCCATCCTCCTGCTTCAGCCTCCTGAGCTGCTGGGATTACAGGCATGCACCACCACACCTGGCCTTTAGTTTCTTTTTTTTTTTTTTTGTACTGGGGATTGAACCCAAGGTCACTTAACCACTGAGCCACATCCCCAGACCTTTTATACATATATAAAATACATATATATTTTTTTCTCTCTCTTTTTTCTCACTAAGTTGCTTAGGGCCTTGATAAGTTGCTAAGGCTGACTTTGAAATTGCAATCCTCCTGCCTTCGCTCCTGAACCACTGATATTACAGGCATGCGCCACTGTGCCCAGCTTGGCAGCAATTATTACAGGTATTTATTTACCTAAAAAAAATGAGAGCATGCCCACAAAAGGACTTTTACTTGAATATTCATAGCTGCTTTATTCATAATAACCCCAAGGAGAAAAGTACCCGAAAGCATTTTGGCAAATGGATAAATAAATTGTATGCTCTTATTGTGCAATGGTAATCAGCAATGAAAGGAACAAATTACTGATACCAGTTACTGATGGGTGAGTCTCCAAAGCATGCTAAAGGATGACTACACAAAAGAATAGATAAATATGATTCCCACTGATAAGAAATCCTAGAAAAGGCAAACTAACCTTTGGTGACACAGCACAGGGGTTATAAGTTGCCAGCAGCCCAGGTTAGGAGGTGGGATTAACCATACAAAGGGTTTGTTTTCAAAAACGAGGCAATTTTAAAAACATAAAATCATGACTTTCTTATAAAAATAAATGCATTAAAGATTCTATTTAACTCATTAATAAGGAAATTGGTGAGGAATACCTACAACCTACAGAGCAATAGCTCAAAAGCAGAAAGACTAGAACCAGAGAACCCAGGTAGACAATGCAATTTTCCACTAATGCACAATTTGATTTTTATTCACAGTACACAGAAGGAAATTAGAGTCACAGCAAGGTCTTTCATTTGTCAAAACTCTGAACTGTACAATTAAAATAGATATGTTTTATTATATGTAATTTTTACCTCATGAAATGGATTTAAAAAAAAAAAAAGTTTCATGGAGAGGGGAAGGAAAAGTGGGCCCAGCAAGACCTATTAGACTAAGAGGTCCACAGAAAGCAGGGAGGGGCTTAGAGTGGAGTGACTGATTGATTGACATGAAGACAGATACTCATGAATGAAGGAGCTCTTCAAAGTCTGAGTTTAATCTGGTGGAAGGTGTCAAAGTGTGGCGAAAATATAAGCTGGATGTGAAAGTATTTTTACCAAAGGGGGGAAAAAAAAACAAAACCTAAAACAGAACAAAGCTACATAGCATTAGTTCTAGTAAATATAGTGTAGCAGGTGCTCAAAACCTGGGTTTCTTTTGGCTTAGATTTGAGAGTGTGCCATTGTTTTAGTCAGTTCTTTTTGTTTGTTTGCTACTGTGACCAAAACACCTGACAAGAACAATTTTAGTGGAGGAAGTTTGTCACCCATAATTTCAGAGGCCTCAGTCCTCAGTGGAGCCCAAGGTGTGGCAGAAGAAAGCAGCGAGGACAGGATCCCAGGAAGCAGAGAAAGGGAGCATTCCCCTCACTAAGGACAAAATAAAAACCCCAAGGACATACACCCCAATGACCCAGCTCCTCCAGGCACACCCAGCCTTCTTACAGTTACCACCCAGTTAATCCCTATCAGGGGGATTAATGCGCTGATTAGGTTAAGGCTCTCATAACCCAGTCATTTCACATCTAAGCTTTCTTGCATTGTCTTACACATGAATTTTTTGGGACATCTCATATAGAAACCATAATGTTCTGCTCCTGGTCCCTAAAAGCTCATGCCATCTCATAATTCAAAATATATTTAAGCCATTTTCAAGAGTCCCCATGGTCTTAAAAGGATTGCCCAAAAGTCCAAGTTCAAAGTCTCAACCTAGACACAGGGTAAACTCTCAGCATGAGTCCCCATAAAAAACAAAATCAAGTTATGGGTACCCAATATATACAGACATAGAGTAAATATTTCCATTCCACAAGGGAGAAATAGGGGCATAGAAAGAAGAGATGGGACCAAAGCAAGACCAAAGTTCGGCTGGGCAAACAAGTCCTGTAGCTCCATGGCCAACATCTGGAGCACACAGCACCATGAGGTTCTCTCCAAAGGGCGTGTGTAACTTTGCCCCTCTGGCTTGGGTGGTTGCAGTACACATGGCCTTTCTCTTGGCTTGTCTCTGCTTGGTTCCTGCAGCTTTCCTGGGCATACCTTCCACGGTACTGGCATTTCTTAATCCCAGGGGTCTCCATGCAGCTTTGGCCTCCTCATATCTCCACACATGGGGGCTGCCCACAGGGACTCCATCCAACCCTGCTGCACTTGGCCTGGCCTCCCAGGCCTTCCTTTGAAATCTCAGTGGAAGCCTCCATGAACCCCTAACTCCAGCATCCTGCATTCCTGCAGAACCATCACCACATGTTGATGCCAAAGGTTGCTGCCATCTAGAGCAATAGCCAAGACTCTGGGGACTAGGGATACAGCAGCCTCTGAGTTCCTGGGCAGCTGAGCATGGTGAAATTTTCTAAGCCCCCTTGTGCAAATAGGGTGCTCCACTGGTCTCTGCTCAAAGGAATTTTTACTTTTGTGCCCTTGAGCCTGAGATGGGTATGGTCTTTTCAGTTCCTGAGATGCCCTCAAGCCATGATTCCTATTGTCTTTGGGTAAAATGTTTAGTGTTTCTCTAGTGACTAGTCTTTAACAACCACACCTTTCTTAGCCCCAGTTTTCCTGAAGTTTTCTGGCCAAACTCCAAGTTTTTCAAATATTTTTGCTTTGCTTTTTGCTCCTGAATATCACAATAAACTTGGCTAAAAAACCACCAGCAATATCCATGCTATCACCATAGCTGAATGCTATGATGCTTAGAACTTTCTTCTGCCAAATTAAGAAATACGTCACCTTTAAATTCAGCCTTACAAAAAGTCTCAGAACATGGCCAAAGTGCAGACAATTTCTTAGTCAGAATGCACCACGAATGGCCTTTAGTCCAATCTCCCAGAGAGTCCTCTTTTTCCTCTGAAACCTCATGAACCAAGTCTTTACTGTCCACAGTCCTATGGGCATTCTGGTCTTCTACGCTCCCACCAGAACTGTCTATCAAAGTCCACCTACAACATTCTAAAGCTTTTCCAACTTTCATCATTAAACTTTCCAAAATTCCTCCCACAAATTCCAAAAAGCTCCAAAAGCTTCTGAGTCACACGGTCAGGTCAAAAGCAAAAGCAACAACTCCACTTCTAGGTACCAATTTCTTTTTGTTGTTGTTTAATATTTATTTTTCAGTGGATCTTTATTTTATCTATTTATTTATTTATATGTGCTGCTGAGGACTGAACCAAGGGCCTCATACATGCTAGGCAAGCGCTCTACCACTGGGCCACAACCCCAAGCCTATTGTTAGTTTCTATTGAGTACAATTTAATGAAATTTCCTCAGATTGCAATTTTTTTATACACAACAGTATATTTTGACATATTATACATATACGGGGTACAGCTTCCCATTCTGGTTGAACATAATGTGGAGTTACATTGGTCGTGTATTCATATATGAACATAGGAAAGTTATGTCTGATTCATTCTACTGTCTTACTCCCATTCCCCCTCATTTCCCTTCATTTCCTTCGGTCTAATCAAAATACTTCTATTCTTCCCTACCCCCACCCTTAATGTAAGTTAGCATTTGCATATCAGAGAAAACATTTGGACTTTGGGTTTTTTGGATCGGTTTATTTCACTTAGAATGATAATCTCCAGTTCCATCTATTTACCAGCAAATGCCATCTTTTCATTTATATTTATGGCTGAGTAATATTTCATGGTGTATACATACACCACATTTTCTTTATCCATTCATCTGTTAAAGGGCACCAAGGCTGGTTCCATAGTTTAGCTATTGTGGATTGAGCTGCTTTAACATTGATGTGGCAGTGTCACTATAGTATGCTGATTTTAAGTCTCAGTACCAATTTGTTTTAGCTTTTTTGTTGCTCTGACCAAAATAACTTACAAGAACAATTTCAGTCCTAAAACATCAGATTCCATTCCTCCGGGCCTAAGGTGTGACAGAACATCATGGCAAAAGTGTGAAACAGAGTAAAGCAGCAGGGGACAGGGCACCAGAGAGACAGAGTTGCCCTCACCAAGGGCAAAATACAAACCTGGAGGGGCTGGGGATACAGCTCAGTTGATAGAGTGCTTGCCTTGGATGCACAGGCCCTGGGTTCAATCCCCAGCGCCACACACACACACACACACACAGAGATAAATATATATATTACCTTCCCAGGCAAACCTGTGCACAAATCTTATATATATATATATATATATATATATATATATATATCCCCCCAGGGACATAACCCCATTGACCCAGCTCCTCCAGCCACACTTTACTGCACTGATTAGGTTAGGGTTCTCATAAACTGATCATTTCACATCTAAGCTTTCTTGCATTATCACACATATAAGTTTTTGGGGAAATCTCATATCAAAACCATAACAATCATGTACTAGGTATCTCTCAATAGATGACACTCCCCCTCATGCCATCACAGCTGATGAAAGCAGAGGCCACACAACAGGTCCAATGAGATCACCTGTTCAGCGAATGGCAGCAGCAGGATTCACACCACAGTGGCTGACCTGGACCTAGGCTGTCATCCCTGCCATGCACCATTCAAAATGCTAGAGTCCTCCAGGAAACTGCACCGTCCCCTAAGAGCTTTCCTCTAGCTCAACCAAAACCCCAACAGCTTTATATCCCAGTGGCTGAACTTCCTAGCCACCTTTGTTACCGCCTCCAGGGATCACCAACCCTGCCCTCAGATCTGTGCTCCCCTCTGGGGTCCCTCATCCAGCCCTGATACCTGCTCCCCACTGTCATGATGCTCATATTCCTTAACACCCCCATTGGACAACTAGGGTTGTCACTGTCCCTCATTCCTGCTCTTTGCCAGCTAAGGTTCCCTTTCAGTCAGTCAGAGGTAGGCCATTGTACCGATCCGCGTGGCCTGCGGTTTCTCACTGAGGGACTGGCTGCCACTCTGTCTCATCCAGGACAGCGGGCGGGGACACCCAGCTGCAGAGCGGGGTCGTCTGATCACTCCCCTCAAGCGTCCCTCCTTTCTGGCCTTCTGGGACTTCACCCTCACACCTAGGTCTCGAATGTCTCCTAGTCTTAAAAGTGCTCTGAGAACTCCGAGGACACGGGGTGCGGGGATGGCAGGTGCCGGGGCTCTGCGTCAAGCAGCGGAGTGGGAAGAGCCTTGCAAGATGGACTTCAGGCTCCCTTCCCAGGCGAACCTGTGCACAAATCTCGTCTGCCCAGGACCTGAAGACCCGCACTCGCCGACCGGTCAGGGGCGCGGAGCGCGCGCGCCAGGTCTGCGGGTCCCTGTCCCCGTGCGAGCGCCGTCGGGGAGGCGGGAGGTGGCGTCCGACCCTTCCCGCCCGAGGAGCGGCGCGGGGCTGGAGAGCGCGTGGCGGCGGGCGGCAACTTCCCCCGAACAGGAATTCGCTTGGGGCCGCGATGGCGACAGCGGCGGGGACTGAGGGCGGGGAGGCGCCCAGATCAAAGGGGGCCGCCGGCAGCACCAGGACGAGTCCGCGAGCGCCGAGGGGCCCCCTCCGCCGAGGACAGGGGACACCGCGGTGCGCTGACCCCCAGGGCAGGGCGGGCGCCCACTCCCGCGCTCGGGCCCGAGGGCGTGCAAGCTGCGCGCAGCCGCCCGCGCGCCCCCGTGCCGCCCCGGAGCAGGCGAGGCGGGGCGCGAACAAGCGCGCCCGGCGCGGGGCAGCGCAGCCTCGGAGCGAGACGATGCGTCGAGTCCTCGGGCGGCGGGCGGGACTCCTGCTCGGCGCGGTGATGCTGGCGGCGCTGCTGGCCGCGGGCCGAGGGGTGCCCCTGAGGAAGCCTCGGAGCCTCGGCCCCCGGCCCGGGAGCCACGCGCGGCTGGCGGAGGTGAGCGCAGGGCGCGGGGTCCCGGGCTCTGACTGCGCGGAGAGAGGGGCAGAGGCGCTCCGCGGGCACCGGGTAATGGCCAGGTGCGCTGAACTTCAGCCCCCCCCCCCCATTACCAGCGTGTGGCCGAGAGCTGGCCAGCCTGGGGAGAAAGTTCACTTCTGTGCAGAGTGCAGCGGGCCCACACTCTGCAATGGCCAGGCTGCATTTCTGTCTGCAGCGGTGCCCACATTTTGCTCACCCTGAGCAACCCGCAGCCACTGTGTCCTGATGCTCACTTGTTCATAGAGGAGTCCCACCAGGTGTGAGAAGAACTCGGGGCTCTGCTTTGCAGAATGGTGGGCTGCGGTTGTTGAGGTTTAAAGGATCAAGTGACTTCCGTGGTGCAATCTCTTGATTCGAATCCTCCAAGGATTTGAGCCCCTACAAGTGTGAATTGAGGCAAGCTGAGATAGGTCGTGGGGTTCTCCAACTTGCTGCGTGCCAGTGCGCCAGGGACTTCTATATTAAGTGCTTACTAAGACAGTGTGGGCACTTTGGGGTGACCTGTGGGTTGGTCTTGGGGCTAAGGAATGAGGTGGAAGATGGCATCGGCCCATGGAGAGAAACCATGGTCTGTCAAGACCTCTGTTTCCAACCCAGAGATGTCTGACATATATTCCCACAGAGACTTCCATACAGAAATGGGCCTGAATGGGAGGTGGTCTTGGGTCCTGGGTCCTTCCATGACCTGAGCTGTTCTGAAAGGAAGCCAGAGTGTTCTCCCCGTTTTCAAGATGAGGACAGTGAGGGGCCCAGAGATGCAGGAGGTGGTGAGCATGCAAGAGGAATGAGCTCCGCCATGCTCCTATTGTCAGGGTGCTGCAGCCTCCAGAACCATGAGAAACAAAGGGACAAGCTGGTCTGTAGACCAGTGGTTTTGTTCCCATTTGGAGACTTCTTGATTTTTTTCTGTGTTCCCATCAATCCCTATGAAACTTATACAGATATACTGTTTGTGTACTATGATCCTCACAAACTATTGTCCTAACCCAACCCAAGGGTGCTCTGTCACTGAGCTACATCCCTGACCCTTTTATATTTTGAGACTCAGTCTGGCTAAATTGCTAGGGTTGGCCTTAAACTTGCCATCCTCCTGCCTCAGCTTCCCAAGTAGCTGTGGTTGCAAGCGTGCGCCACTGTGCCCAGCTAAGACTTATTTACATCCTTGTATTCCAGGATTTCTCAAACCTGCCTGTGCTGTCATCCTGGAAACTGTAATTCTTGGTCATAGGGGCTGCTGTCCTATGCATTGCAGGATGCTTTACCACATCCCTGGCCCCTACCACAGGGCCAGACATTGCCAAAGATTTCCTGAGGGACATACGCACCCCCGCCCATTGTCGGGAACCACTGTTTCAGACAAATTCAGAGGCCTCTGGCCAGTCCCACCTCCTGCATGGAGATGACAGTGGTGATAAAATTAGTTAAATTGACATTGTTTCTGATCACTTGGCTTATATTTTCTATTTTAGCACTTATCGCTTTGTATTGTAATTATTTTCAGCATGTTTGCCAAATCTGCCCCCATGGAGACCAGTCTAGAGAATGAGTTATTTCAGAGCCAATCTCATATCCTCAGTCCCAGGACAGGGCCTGGCAGAGGCCTCAAAAACACCTAAAAAGGGCTGGGAACGTGGCTCAAGCGGTAGCGCGCTCGCCTGGCATGCGTGCGGCCCAGGTTCGATTCTCAGAACCACATACAAACAAAGATGTTGTGTCCCCCGAAAACTAAAAAATAAATATTTAAAAAAAAAAAAAAACACCTAAAAAGCAAATTAGTGCCATGAAGGAAAAACAGACACAGAGCTTAGGACCCGAAGGCCTGGTTTTGGCAAGTTGGGAATGCATGTGTGACTCACCTCGAATGCTTTTCTCACATTTAAAGAGGGGATAAGTCATCCCCAAGGTCCTGTCCAGCTCTGACGATGCTCCACAAGTCTGTGATTTTACATCAAAGGTGCTGGTTAGAACGTCCTGTTGAGGGAATGCAGACAGCTGTTGTAGAGACTCCGGTGGGGTGTCAGAAGGACCTACCAGCCCCAAGGTTCTTACGAGAAGCTGAAGAGCCTCACCCACCCCATCTCAAAGCAGCAGGGTGTCAGCTCTCTCTGGGCCTCACAGAAGCGGTATGACTTAGTCAATATGACATTCGTTCATTGTCACATCATTTCTACATAAGCATTATCCCAATTTCCTAGATGAAAACATCAAGACAGAGAAGCTTCCATGGGAGCCAGGCCTGTCACCATAAAGAGCCACACGGGGTACCCTGTGGCGCGTCTCAGCAGGGTGTGCTCTGGGCTGCTGGGAGACTCTGAATCAGAGGGGCAGGGGGTGGGGGTGTCTTCTGACCTGAATAAAATGCAAAGAACTAACCCAGTGCCAGGCCAGAAAGGGGTTCCTTCTCTCTCCTCTCTCTGCTCTGAGAACTGTCTGTCTAGGTAGCGTTTATTACCATGGGCAAGGCCTTGCTCTAACTCAGCAACCCTCTCAGCAACCGCCAATTCCCTGATTTACAGAGGGAATCGCGTGACCTGCCCAAGGTTACTTATAGCTGGTAAGTGTACGAGTCGGGACTTGAACCCAGGCCCTATGGATTTGTTACCACAACATTCAGCTGCCAAACCAGACGATGAAAGTGAAAGGCCCGTGAAGTCGTGGGGACACACCCCGCCGCCTGTAATCCTAGTAACTTGGGAGCCTGAGGCAGGAGGACTGTAAGTTCAAGGCCAGCCTCAGCAACTTAGCAAGACCCTGTCTCTAAATAAAAAACAAATAAAAAGGGTTGTGGATGTGGTTCCGCAGTTAAGTACCCGGGGCTCAATCCCCAGTACCAAAATAAATTAATAAGTAAATAAAAAGGGAGAAAGAAAGGAGGAAAGGAGGGAGGGACGGAGGAAAGGCCTGTGAATGCAGAGGGAGGTCCCGCGTGAGGGTTGCACTATGAGTGCATGTGTGTGTAGCGTGCAGGGGGCATGAGAACAGGCAAAACCGAGTTTGAATCCCGGCTCTGTTATTGTAACCTTACCTAAGTCCCTCACCTTCCCAGAGCCTTCACAGCTGTAACCTGAAGACAGTCACCCTGTAGGGTTGGTGTCTGTTCATGTACTCACAGTTTTTTTTTTTTGTTTGTTTGTTTGTTTTGAGCTATAACATACCAGGCACTGTACTAGGTGCTGAGAACACAGTGAGCAAAGCAGACAACTTCTTGCCTGTGCAAATGTGCATTATAGTTGGAGGAAGTGACAGATGGGGAGCCCAGCCCAGGCCTGGGGCCTGGTTACAGTTCGGCTGTCGGGTGCTCTGCTCTCATCATCCCAGGCCTCACTTCCGGTTGCCAGTGTTCACTTGCTGAGGGCTTTTACTGGCACAGAGTCTGCTCAGAGCTGTCCATGCCCTGCTGGCCCATGGCCAGCCTGAACTGCCTGCGAAGCAAATCCTCTCCCCCACCCCACATCCTTGACAAGCAGAGTTGGTGGATCAGTACCCCAACTCCCTCCCCTCTGGGGCACAACCACAACCGTGGCTCAGAGAGGCGCCCAGAAGGCTTGAACTCCAGCTGCCCACCATGTTTGCTAACTTCATAGACAAACTTTATCAGCTGTGACCCTCCCCGGCTGGTGTCTCCTGGGATCCCCTTCCAAAGTGAACACCTGCATTTGAATCCTTGTCTCAGGGAACCACTTCAAGATGGGATGGTCCCCCTGTCCCTTGCCACTTCCTGAGGGCTTCTCTACAGAGCAGGAGGCTCTAGGAGCAGATCCAGGGAGGAAGGGCACCAGGGGAGGCTTGGACTTGTGAACAAGGGCTTCTCTAACCTCTGCTCATTCTTTGGTCCAGCTGGGGAACAAGGAGGGGAGGGAGTAGAGAGGGGTGGAAATGACCAGCCTGGGCATTTACCGGATAGCAGGGGCTAGGCTCAGCTCACAAAGGTTATGTCCCCCGCTAGGGCCCCACAGGTCAGCACTCAGACGGAGGCAGTTGACTCTGGAGCAGGGTTTCTTAGTGACAGCACTATTAACTTCTTCCAGGCTGGAGAATTCTTGGCGTGGGCTGTCCTGTGAGTTGTAGCATCTATGGTAGTGTCCCTGGCCTCTGCCCACAGGTGCTAGTAGAACCCCTCTCCTGTTGTGACAACCACACACGTCTTATGACGTTGCTTGCTGTGCCCAGACGAGAACCACTGCTTTGCCATTACCTGCCTGTGGTGAGGGTCTCCAGAACAGCCAGAAAGGCTGCTGTCCCCGAGTTCCTAAGCCCCGAGACCACCGTCTCTGGCCCTAGACACTGCAGAAGGTAGAATCACTGAGCAAAGTCCCAGGGACAGGTAGGGCTTTGGTGGAATTGTGGGTGAGAGCAGCCAGGAAGGCCACACTTGGGGATGGCCTCCAGAATTGGTCAGCAGAGGGTCCAGCTGTTCCATCACTCTCCCTCCCCACCCCACTCCTCCATCCATGCCGGCTAGACCGGGGTACCTTGACTCAGCGAGGGCCTTCAGGCCCAGGCAAGAGGGCCTGTGGCTGCTCTGAGACCAGGTGTTCTGTATAGGAGCCTTGCAGCCAGGTGACTGGAGTCCCCAAAGGGGAGGTCAGCAGGGGAGAGAGAAGGTCGGAATCTATTTTTCCAGCCTTTCGAGAGAAGAGAAAGCAAGGAGAGAGCAAGGAGCTGGACTGACGAGGCCCCTAGGTGGGCAGGGGTGCTCTCAGCCTCCTACCTGCAGTGTCACAGAGTGTGTGGCCTGGCCTACGGAAGCCATGCGAGAATCCTGGAGTAGGACAAGGGGCAGGAGGAGGGAGGTCACTGTGGTTGGAGATGCGGAGGAATGCAGCCATCCTGTGGCCAGCTCTGGCAGGAGCGGGTGGCCAGGGAGCCCATCCCTGGAGGCCTTCCTGCTCTGACTTCTGAGAGCCTAAGGCAGGAATGGGGTGGCGAGGATTTCAAGGGGAGTGGTCTGCAGGCAGCAGTTTGGACCCCCAGTCTTAGCTCTTTACTATTCATTTTCACCTTCAAAACAAAGAGGTAGGAACATGCTGATGTTCCTTTCCCGCCTCAAGTTGGCATCAGTTGTCAAAGTGTTTTGTGGACACAATCCGCGGTCCGACCTGCTGCACCTCATTTGTCTACTGGGACCATTAAAGCAGGCAGTGGTTAGATCCACTTTCCATATGTGCACTCCAGATGGAGTTAAGTCCCAGGGTGAGCGGGTTTTGTGGTCAGCCTGGAGCTCCCGAATCCCCCTGACTGGCATGTCCTGGGTCCATGTGGGGTGCACCCGGACCTCAGTCACTCCACCTTCCGTCTCTCCCTAGGCCTCCGCTTCCCCAGATCTCAACTCTCCTGGAGAAGAGGAGATACCACTGCTCCCTGGAACCCACCTGCAGGCAGGGCCATGCAAGCACAGGTGCCAGACTCTCCCGGAGCCAACAGCCTGGACCCCAGGCAAGGCCACCTCTCCCAAGACCCTGGAGGACAGTCCCTTGCTAATGGAGCTGCAGAAACTGCCAGGAATGGCCAACACAGACCTGGGCACCCGGAACCCCAACATCCAGGTGAGAGCTGCAGAAGGGCCATTGGCCAGTGGACACTTGGAGAGGAGCTGGGCTGGCGGCTCGGCCCCACCCTGCAGTGCATAGGGGAGGGGGTTCCTGTGTGGAGACAGAGGCGCATGCCCAAGCCCTCCCCTTGGGGTGTGGGGAGAGTGCCTACCCTCTTTCTAGCTGTGGACTTTGGACAAGTCTTTTGGCTCTCAGACTCTTGTCCCCTGTGCCACAGCAAGGGACAGATAGCACTGTCCTGGTAATGTCTGAATGAGTGGGAAATGCTTTGTCCACTGCAGGATGTTCTGGGGATGTGGGGGAGGCTTCTTGGAAAGGGCGTGGAGGTCTGCTCCCCAGCCAGTCCCAGCCTCTTCCTGGAGGCCCCTGCAGTACAGAGTTGGGTGACTGGCATCATGGGGACTGCCACCAGAGGGTGTTCTAGGAGAGGAAACCGGCGAGGCTGGCAGAATTCCAGCTACGTATTCCACTGTCTCAGCCTGTCCTGAATCTTTGAGGATCATAATTCTGCATGTTTTTAATATCAGCCACAATCTGCAAAACACTTTCACCAAAAGAGTTTAGGGGACAGACCACTAAAGTGTAGAACATAACATTCTAAAATTGTTTTAAAGTGCTTATTTATTTATTTATTTGTTTATTTTTTGGTAGTGGAGATGGGGATTGAACTCAGGGGTGCTCAACCACTGAGTCACATCTCCAGCCCTTTTTTATATTTTATTTAGAGACAGGGTCTGGCTGAGTTGCTGAAGCTGGCTTTGAACTCGCGATCCTCCTGCCTCAGCCTCCCGAACCCCTGGGATGATAGGCATGGGCCACCGGGACAGGCTCATTTTCTTCTTATACTGTGCTGTTTTTTTTCCCCCAGGTTTTGTTCAGTGACCTCCTTTTACTTCACAGTAGCCCAAACTAATGTTTTAAAGTTCAGTTTCGCATGAGTGAGTTTTACTTCTCTCCCTGCACAGTGTGGTGAGAGCTCCTCCCGAGGGCTGCTGGGGGATCTGAAGTCAGCGCTCTCACTTTCTGACCCTGCCCTGAGGACTTGGAAGCCCCCATGCTGTTCTCGGTCCCTGAGCAGAGCCAGAATTCAGAGCCAGCTTCTCTTAAACTAGTTGGTCTCAGCCCTGGCACTTGCTAGAACTGCCGTGCCTGTCCTCACCCCAGAGCTGTTACATCCATATGTGGGCTCTGGGAGTCAGGAACCTCCAGGTGGTTCTGACGCACAGCATGTCTGCACAGCGTGTCCTGGGCTGTTCCCCGTGTTCCCGAGAGGCCATGGTCAGAGGGAGAAGAGAGCTGGTTTGGAAGCAAGGTTGGGCTTCTGGCCTCTGGGGCTGGCCCTGTCACCTCCCCTTTCCTTGGAGTCCTGCTCTGAGCCCTTTCTCTCCGTGCTTTGTCTTCCTGCAGGTGACCATCGAGGTGGTAAAGGACCCCCAGGCTGAGGTGGAGATGGACTTGATGGCCGAGCCCAGTCATCGCTGGCCTCAGGATGCCCCCAGCCAGATGCCCACCAAAGAGCTCTTCTGGCCCCTCTTCTGGAGCTACCTGGAAGATGAGGAAGGGGACCCTGGCCTCAGGGACAGAGCCCCAGGGGAAGAGAAGGAGGTGGGAGAGGAAGAGGAGGATTACCTTTCCGAGTACAGTGAGGGCGGGGACCAGGAGGATGCTGAGGAGGATGAGGTGCCTTGGTCTGGTGGGGCCACAGATGGCTGGTCCTTCAGGGAGCTCAACAGCTATGGTGAGCACTGCCGGCTTGGCATCCCTAGGCTGCCGCCTCTCGAGGTCGGGGTGGGGGTCGGGGAGAGGGCCAGGGTCTTCCCAGGCAGGAGGAGCTGGGAGGCCAGCGGCTTAGGCCCTGTACAAACACCATCATCATCTCAAAAGTGCTGTTACCCGCAGCCTGGGAAGTTATTGTGTGTTTTTTTCCCCAACATCCACCCCTCTCAACAGCTCCGAGGAGAAAGACATTTGTTAATGTGTGTACTCAGATCCATTGGTTTCCAACCAAGTGAGAAATGTAAACCTCACCACTCACCGTCAACTTTATTTCCAGTGTGGGTTTGAATCCTGGCTCTGCTGAATGACCCACCTTGGGCAAGTTATTTAGGCTCACTGTGCCTGAGTTCCCTCCCCTGTGAAATGGAGAGCCATGTAGGCTTTACTACGTAGGGATGGTTGGAAAGAGGGTTAAACGAGCTAATGTACATAAAGCACCAGCATACAGTGAACAACGCCCTGGCTCTTTTTATTACAAAAAGACAAGAGATTCCTAACACTTTTAGCCTCTCATGATAAATATTTTTTGGTACTGGAGCATTACTGAGGATTGAATTCAGGGGCACTTGACCACTGAGCCACATCCCCAGCCCTATTTTGTAGTTTATTTAGAGTCAGGGTCTCACTGAGTTGCTTAGCACCTCTCTTTTGCTGAGGCTGGCTTTGAACTCTCGATCCTCCTGTCTCAGCCTCCTGAGCCGCTGGGATTACAGGCATGTGCTCAGCCCATGATAACAATTTTTATTTTTGAATATTGTGGTTCTGGTTTCCACTGGGGACAGATGTGTTTTATGCACAGTCTCAGCAGTTTCCCCTAGAGCCCCAGGAGGCCTTGTCATTGGACCAAGGTGCCAGTGACTGGGACTAAGTCATGACAGGCTCTTCTCAATTTTTCAAAATATTGTAAGGTAACAGAGTTTTCATGGCTTTTGCTTTTATGACATTCATTTTCCTCAGATTCTTGGTGCCAGGCTGTTTGGGCCTGCCCAGGAAGCCAGGAGAGAACCAGCTGTACCAGTCCTTTTAGATCCCAGAGACAGCCTCAGTTCTCAGGCCCAGCCTGACTGAGCTCCTTCAGACCAGGTGTGGGTCCTAACATGGCAGCAGGGACATTCTTTAATAACTACAGTGCCAAGGAAGTATTGTAACCCTTGGTTTTGATTGACATAAAAACTAGTTCAGCTGGATATGGTGGCACACTCCTGTAATCCTAGGACTTGGGAGGCTGAGACAGGAGGATTGCAAGTTCCAGGCCAGCCTCAGCAACTTAGCAAGATCCTGTCTCAAAAATAAAATACAAATAGGGCTGAGGATGTGGCTCAGTGGTTAGGTGCTCCTGGATTCAATCCCTGGTACCAGAAAACAAACAAACAAAAAACCCTCTAGCTCAGAGGTGTAGAACTTTCCTGAGGTCATGCACATAGTGGTCAGGTGGCTTCCAGCCCCAGGGATAATTTCTTATTCATTGCTGTGTTGGCACAGAGGGAATGGCAGGGGTTTGTACTGACCCCCTAGGGCCACCTGATAGATTTTTACAGGTTGTTCACTGTACAAGGGTTCCCAGCGGAGGGAGTGGGCAAGCCCACGCTCCATCCACTAGGCCGGGTGCTCTGGCACAGGCTTATCCAGCTGAGGAAGGCCAGCCCACTGCTGATTTGCACCAGGGCCCTCTGCAGGCTATGTTCACTCACCCTCTCCCTGCCTTGACCCAGACTACGAGCCTCAGGAGGAGTGGAGCCCCTGGTCTCCCTGCACTGGGAACTGCAGCAGCGGCAGCCAGCAGAGGACTCGGGCCTGTGGCTATGCCTGCACTGCCACCCAGACCCGTACCTGTGATTTCCCCCCCTGCCCTGGTGAGACTGGCCCTAGCCCCTGCATAGGAGTGGCTGGTATGGCTTAGACTACGGGTCTTGTCACCTGGGAATGTGGGGGGTTGCGGGGGTGGTCTTGGGAATGCAGGAAGCTCACAAATATGGTGGTCCTGTCCCAGGCCTGTCCCAGCTTCTATGAGCACCGAGAGCCTGGTGAGGGCTGGGCTTCCCCATCTGGAGCACAGAGGTGCCCTGGGGCGCCACCAGCCTGGCCTCCTCTTTTCCCAAAGGCGCTGAGAACGAGGACAACTTGGGCTTTCCCAGCGAGGGGCGGCAGCCCCTGGCCCACAATGCTACGGACTTACTCGGCCCAGGTCAGTGGCGTGCTAGGCCTTGCCCCTGGGGGATGGCGCAGAACCTCTCTGGGGACGGTAGTGCATTACTGCAGGGCAGGAACCTGGCCTTCATCCACTGAGGCTATGAGTGCATCCTCCAGTGGATGGTTTGTGTCCCCAGGAAGGGGCCACAGCATTTGTGAAGCAGGCCCATTGGCCTCCCCCACACTGATGTCCCTGCTGGTAAGAAGGTCTTAATGACAGCTAGAGAGCTTAGAGATCATGGCAGGTGGGGTGGGGCCTATGTCTTTCCTGGCAGCAGGATGGCACAGGGATCCTTGGACTTCTTTCTGGTCTCTCTTTGGAGGCTCTGGGGCAGACTCTGTCTGGGAAGGTGGGTCCATGTCCACAACATCAGGAACACTCTTTCTGGGAAGCTGGGGGTAGATGATGCTTCTTCGAGCACTCTCCTTGGTCTCACCTGTACCCACAAGGAAGACAGGCCACCATGCTGACGAGGCTGTGCTCAGCACCCTGAAGCTTAGTAAACCTGAATCCTGCATCTGGCACTGGGCTAAGGCTGGGGAATCCTAAAAGCCTGGTTTCTGCCCTCAAAGAGCTCTGGTCTCATGGTTGGAAACACATCACCAGCATGAGCAGAGCACAGCGCTGCAGAGCAGAGAGGAAGGGGCAGCTCATTCTGTATGGCCGGAATCACAGGCCACACTTTCCCAGGGAGAGAACTGGGAGGAGGGCAGCGCAGACAGAAGGGACTTTAGGATGCCCAGAAGGGCAAAGTGACTCGCTAAGTCAGAGCCTGAGAAAGGCAGTGCATTCTGAGCGACTGCCTCTTAACTTCATGTTTCGAGTTGGTGTGGGGTAGCCTTGTCTGCCCCAGGTCTAGTTTGGGTCCTTCCACTTCTGCCCCTAAACTGTCCCTGCCTTTTGTGCCAGCTGGGGCCTGGAATTTTGATCAGCCCTCACTCCACCATCAGATGGTCAATCCTCTGACCAGCTTCCCTCCTGCACCTCTGCCCTCTGCAGATGTGGACAGCTGTGAGAAGTGGCTGAACTGCAAGAGCGAGTTCCTAGACAAGTATGTGAGCCAGGTGCTGCGGGACCTGCCCAGCTGCCCATGTGCATACCCGTTGGAGGCCGTGGACAGTGCCGTGAGCCTGCAGGACGAGCACCAGGGCCGCAGCTTCCAGTGGAGGGACGCCAGTGGCCCACACGAGCGCCTGGACGTCTACCAGCCCACGGCGCGTTTCTGCCTGCGTTCCCTGCTGTCGGGGGGCAGCAGCACGCTGGCCGCCCAGCACTGCTGCTATGACGAGGGCAGCCGGCTGCTGACCCGTGGCAAGGGCGCCGGGGCCCCGGACCTTGTCAGCACGGACTTCTCACCTGAGCTGCACTTCAAGGTGGACAAGCTGCCCTGGATCCTGTGTAAGGGGGACTGGAGCCGTTACCATGCTGTGCGGCCCCCCAACAATGGCCGGGCCTGCGCGGACAACCCCCCTGAGGAGGAGTATCTGGCCCAGTTGCAGGAGGCCAAGGAGTACTGATGAGGGGCTGCCGGACAGATGCTGCAGGGGGCAGCTGGTGGCTGCTGAGCTGCAAAAAGTCCCTTTCAGGCCCCTCACCCCACCCCTTCCCAGACCAGGTGAGTGCTAGCGGTCATCCTGTAAGGCCAGTCTGGTGCCGCAGGCCTTCTGCTTGTGACTCCAAGGCAGGTCAGGGACTTAGGTGTCCGGGGGGTTTGAGCAGAAGGTTGAAGGGATCTAGGACCCAGGGTGCGGGCAAGGAGCCCAGGCTTCAGGGCACCTGGGAGTGTGATGGAAATGCGTGCATACTATGTGTCCTGGCCCTCCGTCCCACCTGCTTGCTGGGAGGTACTGTCCCAGCCTGGCTACTGGTTTTTCTCCCTCTCAGAACTTGAGATGGGTCCGGGAGGGTGCCATGTGCTCTGGTGCATGGGCTCCCCACACGGGGGCTAGCCAGAGCAACTCCTCTGATTCCCAGGACCTGCTGTGAATCACTCTGACCCCCACCTCGATGGTCAGCTGAGGAAGGACATGAAGAAGGACAGTCCTTCTTTTGGCCCCACAGCTGCCCTTTGCCAGGCTGACATCAACCCCGGGTGCCCACCCCTCTGGGTGCACATGCCCTGTCACCCCCTGCCATGAGCACAGGCAGCTGTCCTTAGCGCCCAGCTGCCTTTCTGGTGGACACCACTTTCATCTGGGGTTGGAGGCCAACAGTGGGGCCTCCAGACAAATGGCAGAAGCAGCAGAGAAGAGGGTCACCTCATCCCAGACCTTTTCTTTGTTGAGCTCCTGTGTTCTTCCCAGACGGTGAGAACACACAGGGCTGAGTGCTGGCGCTGCCTCCAGGCACAGAAGCCAGGCTTGGGGTGGGCTCAGAACTTGAGATGGGTCCGGGAGAGTGCCATGTGCCTGGAGTGATTATGAATGAGCAATCTGGCAGGGAAAGAGCCCTGATTGGTAGCACTTGGGTAATGTCTGTGGTGTAAACACTCCCACCAATGGCCCGTTTGAAGTTCCTGACGATGTCACTGAATGCACTGAATTCAGAGTTGGGAGGAGATGTGCGCAAGGTCTCAGCACACCTCATGCCTCTTCCCAGTCTCCCCTCCTTCCCCAAACCACACTTCCTTGAGTTCCAACTCTCTCTGTTCACAAGAGGTGGGAGACTTAAGCCTCCACCCCTAGACAGCTGCCCTGAGGCTGGCTTTCTGGGATTCTCAGCAATAAAGCACTTTATTTTCGAATTCTGTCTGATGAAATGATCTGTGGACTGGGCATAGAAAAGGGCTGTAAAGAAACTGTGCTTATAGCCCAAGCCAACCTCCCATGGGGGTGGTGTTTGTAATTCCCCAGCCACAGCCAGCTTCTTTACCGGGCAGGCGCAGTGCCGAGGATGCAGAGCTAGACTGGAAACATTGTTGTCTGGCTCACGCTTGCAAAGGGCTGCGAACGAGACTGACCAGGAGGATCTGGCTAGACCTCAGAGGCACATTCCCTCTCCACTTTGGTCACACAGGTAAACTGCATTTACGCTGTGGGGAAGTTGTCCTGCTTCTTCAAGTAATTAGCTGCGGTGGGAGGGGGATCCCACCAAAGTTATCCAAAGGAATACACTTGCAAAATGAGAGGTGTTTGCTGCCTTAGTTAGTATATTTACCAGATATTCCACTGTTACCCCTGACATTTGGGGAAGTAGAGAGAGAGCTGTCAGGAGGTACAGTCAAGGAAGGCATGTTCAGAACTACCACTTGGAGATGCTCCAGGTGTTTCCAGTGACCATCTTATTCCGAGTTAAGTTTATTAATCTGGTCTTGAACTACAACCTAAAAATACTCTGGTGCATCTAGAATATTAGAAGGTCAGAGAAGGCAGTATTTCAGGTCACCGCATGGGAGTCAAGTTCCATAAGACTAATGCAAGTATGTTTTACTTTTTTTTTTTTTTTTTTTTGATAGGGTCTTGCTGTGTGCCACTGTGCCTAGCTTGTTTTAATTTTCTTGGCAGAAACTTTTATTTTATTTTTTAAAGAACAAGGTGGAGACATCCCAGAGTCTGTCAGGAACTGTGTAGATACCTCCTTTCTAATAGAATTTATCTTGGCACTTAAACACACTAGTTTTAATTAATACCTAGTAGTTGACTGTTACTCAAATTGGATTTAGGTAGCCCCACTTAAAATCTACTATTCAAGTGACAACTGTTACTATGTTAGGCCATAAATGAAAGAAGATAAACAAAAGTGGGGTGGAACAAGGAGAGAAGCCTTGAGGGGCTGGGGAGTAGGTCAGCCATGCAATAGTTTATTCAAGCTATGCAAAGAAGAAAGAGACTCTGGGCAGGTGGCTGTAGGCTGAAGGAACACCTGTGTGGTAGGTGAAGCACCGATGAAGGGGTCATTGAAACTGGTAAAGAGAGAATTTAGGAATAGTTTCTATCAGGGCCAAGAGGAGGCCCAGAAACCAGAAAACCTCACTGACTTGACCAGCAGTTCTTCCAGTCCCCGACACTGGGGCTCATCCATGGTCAAACATCCAGCATGAATACCATCTACTTAACAGCTGCCCCAGATGCCAAGATGGTTTGCCAAATCTTTCTCCCTTGGGTTTGCCTCAAAAAGGACCCAGGCTAGGCAAGATTGATCAAACTGAATTCTTTTTTTTTTTTAATATTTATATATTTCTTATGAGAGTTCTTCCTTAATGCATGCATGTTATTTTTTTTAAGAGAGAGTGAGAGAGAGAGAGAGAGAGAATTTTAATATTTATTTTTTAGTATTTGGTGGACACAACATCTTTGTTTGTATGTGGTGCTGAGGATCGAACCCAGGCCACACGCATGCCAGGTGAGCGCACTATTGCTTGAGCCACATCCCCAGCCCAAACTGAATTCTTACTAGAGTCTAAAACAACCAACAGAGCCAGGTGCAGTGGCACACTCTGTAATCCTACGTACGTGTGAAATTGAGGCAGGAGGATTGCAAGTTCAAAGCCAGCCTGGGCAATTTGGTGAGACCCTGTCTCCAAAAGGGCTGGGGATGTACCTCAGTGGTAGAGTATCCCTGGCTTCAATGCCTACTACTCTAAATAACAATAAAACAACCAACAGTACAAAACCGTCAGAGCTGCTGACTTCCCTCTCCTAGAAGATAGGATATTTCAGGTCTTTTGCTCCACTATTCACAAAAGATCCCTGAGGGGCTCCTTTGCTTACATCTAGATTTTCCTCACATGTTGAGGTACTTCAAAAGAATGCATCAGATATCAGGATCTCCTGAGATATTAAAATGCAAGTTCATGGGTCATACCCCATATCTGCTAAAGAACTTCTAGGTGGCGTCTGCTTTTCTATATTCAACAGGTTCCCCCAGGTGGTTTTTAGTCTTGGAGGACTGTTGGCTTAGTGTTTGCAATTTGGTCTAAACTAGCATTTTGAAATATCAATTCAGGTTTAAGCTAAATGCCACCAGTTATCAGTACTTCTACATCGATCATCCTGAAGCATTCATAAGGTGCTTATACCCATTTCACAGGCAAGATAATTTGCCCAATGGGTTAGGAAGTGAAACATTTGCTGTTCAAAACAAGTCTATGGTTTTATTATTAGTGGCATTGTTCTGTTTTTTAATTTATTTTTTTTTGGGGGGGGGTATCAGGAATTGAACTCAGGGGCACTAGGCCACTGAGCCACATCCCCAGCCTTATTTTATATTTTATTTAGAGACAGGGCCTCACTTTTGCTGAGGCTGGCTTTGAACTAGCCATGATCCTCCTGCCTCAGCCTCCCGAGCTGCTGGGATTAGTGTGACGCCCTGCCTTTTAGGCTCAATTGGCCAACTGATGCACAAGGTAACAGTGGTAAGAACTGAAGAGCCTTCAGTACTAGGGGTGAGAATTGTTACTGAGTCTGTTGTGATCTCTCTCCATTTTCCTGTAAGTATTCTGGAACTGGTAATTTTCTAGCTAGGCTTTTGAAAGGGCTCCAGTTTTTTGTTAATGGTTTGTTAGGAGGAGCCCATTGATTTGACTCAAGCTAGAGCCCAAGTTTGCTTGTTTGATTTTTTTTAACTTAAATGGCCTCTCTTTGGGTGCCCTAGGAGGCAAATGTAATGTCGAATTACATGTGAATAAGTTCAGTCCAGCACTCATCTGAGTAATTTGAGCTGAGAATAGCTTTTGGGTGTCTAGATGATCCAGATCAGAACTCTGATTTTCTACTTTAATTACAAAGTTTTAGCCAAGTCACATAGGATTAGCCTGCAGGTCTTGTTGCCACCTAATAAAAAAGGCAAAAATAGATGCCAGGACAGGCTTGTCTGGGAAAGTAGCTCCATGTTCAGGTAGTTAAAACTTAGTGTGGCAGTCTGACCCACAGTAGAATGTGTTCCCGGCACTTGGCACACTGTCTGGTAAACTCATGTAATGGTACCAGGCATTTTTAAATACTTTTTTTTTGGTACCGGGGATTGAACTCAGGGGCATTTAACCACTGAGCCACATCCCCAGTCCTTGCATTTTATTTAGAAACAGGGCATAAGTTGCTGAGGCTAGCTTTGAACACAATCCTCCTGCCTCAGCCTCCTGAGCCACTGGGATTACAGTGCGCACTATCACCCCTGGCTTAAAATACTAAAATATTTTTAGTTATAGATGGATACAATACCTTTGTTTATTTATTTTCATGTGGTGCTGGGGATTGATCTCAGGGCCTTGTGCATGCAAAGCAGACAAAATACCAACTGAGCTATATCCCCAGCCCCTTAAAATATATATTTTTGAGGTCTTGATGTATTTATTTTACAGTAGAAAGCATTTTAACATACTGAATATAAATGGAGCACACCTCCTCATTCCTCTGGCTACACATGGCAGTCACTCCAATAGTGTAATGATACATGTATATAGGGTAATAGTGTCTCATTCTCCCGTCCTTCCAATCCCCACAACACCCCCTGCCTCTTAAAATACTTTTAACAAGGATGATTTCTTCCTCTCTTGAGGGTCCTAGTGTGGCCTGGAATTTCTCACTCTGGGAGGGATACCTAATATACCAGAAATGCAGCAGCTTCTCTGAACACCATGAAAAAAAAAAAAAAAGTCATGGTCCTTGTTCCAAATTAAAACAATTCAGTGTCAGCTGTTTAGATTTTGGCTGTTACTTAGAAATCAGGGCTCTAACTATAGCAAATATATTCATACACAAGAAACCCAAGATTTAAATTTTAATAAATGACTACCTACTTCTCAGGACTTTATGGGGGTTAAATAAGCTAATGCAAGGCAACTGCTTAGTGGAGGGTCTGGTGTACTGACTGTTCCATTAGTAGAAGCTGCCATAGACTGACAAACTCCATCTTTCTGCACTTCAAACCAGCACCTGATGGTCACCTTTCTATGCAAGAGGGAGAGAGACACGAAGAGTAGAGCCCAGGATGCCATCTCCACCAGCAATGGCAGCAGGGAGTTTGCTAGCACTGCTTTTTCCAGATGTCCCTCTGTGCTGATAAAAAGGTGTCATCCAAAAGGAGACCAGCTTAGGAATGCCTGAGTGAGAGGCAGCTCCCTTGGTACCTTTTAATTATATATACTTCTCTAGAACACAGGTGAGGCCTTCAAGCCTCGCCTGTTCTTTTTTCCTAATTCAAAACCTTTAAGGGAACCCAATACCAGCCACCTCGTCACACAGGTTTCAGACGCAAATGTTTTTAAAATTATGTTTATTTAGCGTATGTACACATAAAAGAGAAATCACCCTCTGATCCCACCCAGAAGAAACATGCACAAACCCAAGGTATTTGTGGAAAGGAGGGACCCCGACCCCAAGTTAGCGGTTGGGATGGTGCAATCCTGTGAGTCAAGAGACCCAGCCAGGAGAGGCTGGACTGAAGTGTCAGGCGGGCTGGAGCCCCCTAAAACAAGCGTGCACCATAGCCAAAGGTCTGTTTGATGCCTTCAAAGTAGTACCGCTGCCAACCCTGCCGTGTCCGCTCTTCCTCAGGGGCAGGGATGCCTCGGCCTTCCATGCACAGCTCAGTCTCTCCACTCTTGTCAGTGAAGGTCAACGTGATGGTGGCAAAGTGTCCTGGGGAAAGGCAGAGAGAGTTTTCAGATCCAGCATTTCCACAAAGGTTTAAGACTAGGGGACAAGAAAACGTTCTGGGGATGACGGCAAAACACAAACAATGCTTACTTACCCTCTGGCCATGATTTAAACCTCCACTTCATTGCAATATGTTTCTCAGGAACCT